AGTGTCCAGCAGAGCACATGCAAATGTGAAGAGACTCGATGGAATATTACACAGTGCCGAGACATCTGGGTTAGATACACCTGTGATGAGATGCCAAAGGACTCTGAAGTTATGAGCATCAAAGAAAAAAAAAACAGTGGTGCACATTTTATACCAAAATTCATGTACACACACACGTGTACACACACACGTGTACACACACACGTGTACACATACACATGAGCACGCACACACACAAGGTTTTGTGTTTTTCTTGAGACATGGTTTTACTGTGTGGCCCTAGCTGTCCTGGACTTGCTTTGTAAATTAGGCTGGTCTCAAACTCAGAGATCAGATGCCTCTGCTTGCCAAGTCCTGAGATTAAACACATGTGTAACCACCACCTGGCAATACACAAGTATTTTTAAGAACTCATGCAACTCAAACCATATTTTTTAAAGGCCAGCCACATGATTGAAATAAGAATGGGTACAGGGAAATTTTTTTAAAGGCAAGCATGAATGGGAACACATTTCATTTAACTAAATCTTAGCACTAAATTTATTTTTTCTCTGTCAGGTATGACAGTGTTTTACTGGAACGCTACAATTTGGGAGACTGAGGTTGGAGAATTACAAGTTTTGAGTTACACAGTTAAACTATGTATATGAGAAAAGATGATGATGAAGATGAGGAAGAGAAGATACAAATGGCACAGAAACTGCACAGAACTTCTCTCACGCTTCTCTCTTGCCACACTTCTGAGAGGATTTACCATAACAAAACTGGAGGGTCAGATTATCATTCAGGCGGAAGATTAAAATTAACAAGGGACTTGGAAATCCACTTTCTTTGCACACCTATTAACATCACACAAAAACAAAATTTTGGGTGGGGATTGGAGCTGGAGAGACGACTCAGTGGGTAAGGACACTTTTTGTTCCTTGCAGATGACCAGGGTTTGATTCCCAGCACCTGCATAGTACTCTGGCCAACTAAACTGGTCTACATACTAAGTTCAGAGCAGCCAGAGCTACATAGGAAGACTGTTGGGCGGGGTGGGGGGCATGCTTTGAAATCATATACCCATCTAAGAATTTGCAATCAGACTTTGACTAAAGAAACATTTTTTAAAGTCAATGACGTAAGTAATTATTACTGTCAGCATTACTGTATTTCCAGTTTAAAACTTCTCACTTCTGTCTGATTAAAACAAGTACATAGTCAGGTGTGGTGGCACATATCTATAATCCCAGGAAACAAACAGGCAGTTTACTTTGGGTTCGCAGCCACATAAAATAAAATAAATAAATCTTTTAAAAATAAGTAATGGCTATTAGAAAACACAAAATACAAAAACTGACTCAAGAAATAGAAATCAAAGAAAAATACATGAACTATGTCTATGGCAATCACTGGTAAATTCTATGAAGTACATAAAGAATTAACATTAATTCTAACACTCAACATCAAAACACCAAAGGAGACAAACTCAGTCCACGAGGCTGGTATTATCCTAACAACCAAGATAGCAAAAACATCACAAGAAAACTATAGGCCATATAAATATAGATGCAAACATCTTCTTCAAACATCTTGCAAATTGAATCCTATGGCACATGAAAAGGATTGCATAACATAGCAAAATGGGAATTATACCAGGAATGCAATATTAGTTCAACGTGTGATTATCAATTCATGTATACCGTATTAATGGGAAATGGGATGGTGAGGATCATTTCAGTAGATGCCAAATCTGACTAAAACCAAAACCTTTTTTAATAAAAATAAAACCCAGACGACGAAAAGGGAACTTCCTTAATATAACAAGTCAGAAGAGAAAGCCCCACAGTTAACATGTTCTCCGCTGTGAAGGACTCAAAGTATTCCTCCTGAACATGAACAAGGGTACCTGCTTTTACCACGTAACACTCTACTAGAAGTTCTTGGTAAAACAGAAAAATTCAAACCATCCAAACTAAAAAGGCGAAAGACTCTCTATTTGCAGATGAAAGGAAATTCTACATGCTCTACAAGAAAGTTAAGAGTTAACAAATAATCCCAGCACTCGGAAGGTAGAGACAGGCAGATCTCTGTGAGCTCAAGGCTAGCTTGGTCTACGAGTGAGTTCCAAGACAGCCAGGGCTACGCTGTCCCAGAAAAAAAAAAAAGAAAAAAGAAAAAAGTTAACATATCAATCTAGCAACACTGCTAAAGTAGAAGATCAACATGTAAGAAGTAGCTATGTATCTATAAACCAACAAATAATCCAAAAATGAAATTAAAACAATTATACTTACAATAGCATCAAAAAGAATAAAATATTTACAAGTATAGGCTCTGAGGAATCTGAGGATCAAAACAAATGGGATAGTTCTATCAAAACTTATAATGAAGATATACTAAATTCAAACTGGTACTGACATAAAGAAAAACAAACCAATAAAACAAAATACAGTATCCAAATGTGGACAGACATACACATATTCATGACTTCTGAAGACAGTGCCAAGGAACAAAGGGGAAAAACAGTCTTAACAAATGATCTAGTCAGAATTAGACACAACAACCAAAGGATGAAGGTAGACCCTTTCTGAACATCATATATAAAAATTAACTCAAAATAGAGTTTCTAAATATAAAAGCTAGACTAAAAAGACAAGAACCTTATGACATCAGATTTGGAAACAACTGCTTAGATATGACCCCCAAAGTACAGGTAACAAAAAGTACGTGCTGCACTATTACAGCTGCTGTATGTCAGAGACACAATCAAAACGTGACTACGTGAGAGGCTGCCTACAGAATGGCCAAATACATTTTCAGATTATACATTTAATAAGGAGTTACAACACTGAAGATATAGAAAAGTTTAACAACTTCAGTACAAAAAGTTAAGTAACTAAGTTTCTAAAGGTTAAAGGACTTTTTAAAAAAAAGGTCAAAAAAGATATACAAATGGTTAAAATGTATATCAAAACCATAGCAAGAAACCACTTCCTACTAAATAGCACAGCCAGTATATAAAATTAAAAAAACAGAAAATAAATCATGGCAAGGATGTGTTAAAATGGAAATCCTTGTTCAGCACAGGAGAGTATAAAACCATGCAGTCACAGAGGAAGAAGCCTGCAGGAGCCCTCACAATACTGCTGGTAGAAGCATAAAAGGACAGGCACTGTGGTCTCCCCAGTTGGGCAGTTTTTTAGTAAGAGATAATTGGTAAGATATGATTTGGCATTGCTATGCAAAGAACTGTATATAAGGACCCCAGGATCAGCCCTATTCACAACAGCTATATGTACATGTATGTGCATAGATATGAAGATTGACATGAGGACTGGAACCGCAGCTTGGTGGTAGAGAACGTGCCTCAAAGGGAAAGTGTCCCTGTTCAATTGGGGGTGTGTGCAGAGTCTGACAACGTCACATACAATATGGCTGTATTTATATGAAATAACCAGGAAAGACAAGTCCCCAGAGACAGAAGATTATTGGTTGTCTAGGGCTAATGAAAAGGGCAAAACATGGATGATTATAAGCCCCAAATGTTGCTATTTAAGTGGTGGTGGTGGGGAACATCTGGGCTCTTGAGATAGGGTTTTGCTAAATATCTCAGGGTGGTATCAAACTCACAGGCATCTTCCTGTCTCATTCGTGAGCACTTCAAACACAGTTATGTACAACGCCCAGCTCAAAAGCAAAAGATTTGTGCTATGTGCTCACACATAAACTTTCTACCTTGGCCCTTTTCCCTTTCCAGTGTTTTTTCTAGTTTTTCTACGATTAAAAAAATTTTTTTTAGTTAATGTATGTAACCACTGTCATTTCACATCTACGCAAAGATCACTAATGAAAAATACTGGGTCTGGTAAGCTAAGCACCTACTGTCTCCTTCCCTAGAGGCCAGCAGTGTCCATGAACTCCTACCAACAAAATACTTGTGAGCACAAATTGCCAAAATAGATATTTATTTATAAATTATTTTACTAACCATATATTATAAAATATACAAAAATAGAAAATTTGAAAGTTTGAGTAAAATAAAAATAAATTCTATCTTCCCTACTCCAATTGGACAGAGCATCTCTCCTTGGAGAGCTCTTCTCTAGATGTTACTTTGTTTTTTGAGACAGGTTTACACTAAGTAGCTAAGGCTGGCCTCAAACTAGTAATCCCCCTGCTTCAGCACCCTGAATGCTGAGAGAGCAAGTGTGCATCACCATGTACATGGCTCTAATTTAACTCTTGGGTGGAGGATCTGCCTTATCAACTCTTTTCTGAAGTAAGGTGACCTCTGACTGCTGTGGCATCTACCACGAGGGTGTTAACATTACCCTGTTAATGTCTTCTTTATGAAGACAGATGAGGAAACTTCACTTGGGTTTCTGTAACTGAATAACTAACTAATGATTCTGAAATTCTGACTTGCTTTTATAGCATGTTAAGTGATTACAACTTATCTTCTAGAGTATGTAACACCAAACTTGTAGCTTATTTCTGGCCAACGCATCCATTCACCAGGTGTATTTATCCCCTTCTGGCTTTAACTTGCCTTTCCAACTCTTAGTTCTTCTTTTATTTATGTTAAATCATGTTGTGGCTGACCCCATTTTCAATTTTTATATGATTTTAAATTTCATTTACTTAAAAACAATGTTGTATTATATGTGTGTATGCGTTTAAAGGCAATTCAAATACTTCTCAAAAGACAGGAGGAAAGAATGAAAAACAGATCCCACCCCAGCCCACCCCCGCGAACAGAGGCCATGCTAAGTTTGAAGCTCCGACTGCCTAGTGCAAAGCTCTGCATGCACAGGGTGACTGGCAAGCGTGTTGAGGAAAGAATGACAACAAACAATAGCGCTGTGCTCCATTTTCTCACTCTTTTCCAGCGGGGCAGAAACGGTATAGTGAGGAAAGGGCAAAATGGCTTCTTTTTTTGCACCTGTGTGAAGAGATTAACTAAAAAGTCCACAAAAAAGGCAGTCACATCCCAGTTGGAATTTGTAGCCGTGTACCTGGATGTGCCTCCTTCTGGTGTACTCAGAAGTCATTTGGGGATAGCCCGTGCTCAGTGCCTTCTTGCTGTGCTTATACCGCTTCTCCAGAAATCTCCTCTGCTGATTAGTGACACTGCTGTATAATTTCATTCGCCTGGGTGACAAACACAGTTTTTCATGGCCAAAAGCTTGGATCAGCCGGGCTGTGTCAATGGTGGATATGGAGCTACTCCTGTCATTTAAAGTCACATCCCTGTCAGTCTGAGTCAGCACATCTGAGTCCATAGGAGAAGTAGTGCTGGAGAAAATGTTGGGACTATCTGTGAGGAGCTCACTTTCGTCTGAGGGTCTAGAATCTGAGGAGGTATTACTGACATAATTAAAATCCGGTCGTTTTCTCAGGATGTATTTATCTAATTTAACCTGCTCAATTTTAATCTGATTGGATTTCCCACTGTGGCCCCTCTCTAGGCTCTTACGCTGCTTCCTCTGCAGCTTGCCTTTAAGCTGATGCCGCCTCCTCCCAGTCCAGCCCCTCACACCTCGTCCCCCTCTACTTTCATCTTGGGTACTTTCTGAGGCCTGGAGAGAATGTGTGATGGGATTCTGAAGCAGTTTAGCCAAACGATCAAGTCGTTCCACCAAAGACAGTTCTTTCTTTTCACAAACAGCAGGTGGTTTCTGCTGTTTCTGTCGCTCCTGGTACTTATTCCAGAGTTCATTCAAACTCACAGTGCACTGTGCTGCTAGCTCTGGGGTGACCTTCTGATCCTTTTTTGGGTCATTTGTCTGTCTTTTGCCTTTTGGGTCTCCAGCCTGATTCTTGACAGTATTTGTCTTCTCATTGTCTCCCAAATTCAAATTGATGCTGAGGCTCTTAATTCTGGTGTAATCCATCTTGGTCTTGTCTGCACTTGTGCCAGGGGGAGGAAGGCAGCTGTGCTCCGAATGATGGTGAAAGAAATCCTTCCAAGAATGCTGCATGAAAACACTCCTTCCCAAAGACTCGGGGCAGAAATCTTGCTCGTGGGGCAGGTGCACAGGATGATGAAAATAAAACTTAGCTGACCTGAAGACAGAGTGTGTGGTGTTTTCAAATGCAGAACGGCATTGAGACTCTGAAAAGAACAAAGAGGAAAAAAAAGATTTCCAAAGAATTTAGAAATATTTGTATTCCTTTTATAAATACTATGTTTTCTTAAGACATAGAACATGTGCTTAGCCACCAGACTGGCGTGAGTCAAAATATGTGAATTCTGGGCTGCATCTCAGATGAAAGAGTGCTTACCTAGCATGCACAAAGTCCTGGGTTCAATTCCCAGCATGTTATAAACTTCATTTATACTCCCAGTACTCAAAACACAGAGAAAGCAGGAGCAGAAGTTCCAGGTTACCCTCTGTTACATGACCAGTTCAGGTCAGCCTGAACTAATTATATGGTTTGAGACAAAGGTCTCAAAAACAAAAAACAGGAGCACTAGAGAGTACTGAAGTCATTGGACCTCTGTGAGTTCAAGGCTAGCCTGGTATACACAGTGAGTTCTAGGCCAGTCAAGGCTACTTTGTCTCAAAAATAAAACAACAATAAAACAAATCTGGATGGGATTCTTCCATCATGTAACAAAGGTGTGCCCTGTAGTTCTCCAAACTATAATTAGTTCCCTTATACATACATGACCAGTTCTTTATAGGCTACTTTTTGTATGTGTTCTTTCTTTAAAAAAAAATTTCACCTTGTTAGTAAGAGCTAGATGGATATCTCCAGCTAAAAACTCTGGAATTTTACCATCAGCATTAAGTAGGTAGAGTTAAAAAAAAAAAAAAACTTGTAAAAAAAACAAGCCTCGTGTTTGGACACTCATCATTCCACATCAAAACAGGTACTGTTTAATGCAATCATATCTTACAGTTTGCTAGAACGTGTCTCTCTGAATGCACATTAAAACTGCATCCCTTGATTCAGTTCTTGATTGATGGACTATTCAAGATCATGGCAGAAGCATTCAGAAAAGCCTTGTGCTGGCTCATTCCTCTGTTCCTCTTCACAGACAAGTTGCTAAGACAGCAAATATGTATTTTCCTGTTCTTTAGCTCATTCCCAAACCAATTCTCTCTTCTAATTACTCCTGAGTTTAGCCATACCACTGGATTATAACAGCTCTGACGTGACCAATGGTCTCCTCAAACAGCGAATTCTATCTAGATAGCATGATGTTCATACCCAAAATTTCCATTCAAGAAGATCACACTTCTCCTCATGGTTTTTACTATCATTTCAGTGTCAGTATCTACTCTTAGATCTACACTTCAAGCTATGATTTCTCTCAATCCCAGATTTATATCTATGTATCATATATATCAGATAGATGTACAATCACCTTAACTTTTGAATGCCGTTAACCAAATTCTATTCTAGCCTTTACTAAGAAATCCATAAAAAAATCTAGAACTAATAAAAAAAATAGGTAGGTTTCAAGTTAGAGATGTGTTTAAAACTGCAAGCATGAAGCATAGAATCTTCATTGGGCCTCTGCTAGGATTTCCTTTTCTGCCCTTGATACTTTGAAGGAAAATGGAGAAGATCTTGCTACTATGGCACAACAGACTAATACCCCTGTAATACATCTGAGCAGTCCAGCTTGCTTTTGGGTATGGGAATTATGACTGAGTGTTTTCATTCCACGGGACTCACTTGGTGTTCCCATATCTCTCTGAAGAGTCTGAGAGGCGTCTTGGCCCCTGAGCCTCCTGTAGTCACCTCCAGCTCCTTCACCGTGATGTCATCCATTCAGGGGGCCTTCCTACATTTCTGTCTCTTGATGGCTTCCTCTATCTCACTCCTGTCAATATTTAATATTTTCTTATCGTCTCTGGTATTGGAGTGGCTGCTGGGTTTTTCTTGTTGTAGTCCACATTGACAGCATTAGAGTCATTGTATAGGGTGGTAAAGTACTGTCTCCACCTTTGCTTTACTTCCCCAGGTTGTTAATAAATGACCTTGCCCATCTCTAATCATCCAAATCTGAGGAACATATCTAGCACGTATAAATATAGTGGCTTACAGCCTATATATAGGCTTACAAATGACTATAGAATTATTAAATTCCTATATACAAATTCTTTAAAAATGTAATTCAAGTTAAAATAGCATAAAAATAAGACACCAGAAATAATCTAATAAAAGAATTGCAAAACCCATAGTCTGAACACTACAAAGTATTGCTATAAAATTAAAAATCTAAATAAATGGAAAAGAGCTCATTCGTAGAGAAAAAAACATCAAACATAACACTCTTCAGATTGTTCTGCAGTGCAATTCCTATCAGAATACCAGATTGTTCTTTTGTAGAAACTGACAAAATAATTCTAAAATTTGTATATAATTTAAAGAAACCTAAAGGAGACAACATAATTATGAAAAATAAAGTTGAAGGCCCAATAAATGCCTAGGTCAAACCTTACCATAAGCCAATAGTAATCAAGACAGATTAGTACTATCACATGATCAAAACATAGATCAACAGATACTATTGACAGTCCTGAAATAAAATTATATATCTATAATCAGTTGATTTTTGGTAAAAGTTTTCAGGATGAGGAAATAGTTTTAACAGCTAGTGTTATGATAAATGAATACCCATATTTATCAAAATTGAAAACTGTGTTCCAAAGAACATTATTACAAAAATAAGCCAGGAGTCATTACAAAAATAATTCCAGGTACTTGGGAAGCTAAGACATGAAAATTACAAGATCAATGTCTATTTGAACAACACTATTCTCTGTCCATCCTCCTCCTAATCCTAGCACTTAGCAATCACCTTTCTACATTCTGTTTCTATGATTTTTGTCTACTTGAGATATTTCATAATAATAGAATAAAAAATATTTGTGTCTTTGTGACTGGGCTATTTTGCTTAGTATATGTCCTTCTAAGGTTCATCTATGTGTACCATGTGACATAATTTCCTCATGAGGCTTCATAATAATCTTTAAATATATAACACACTTTCTTTTTGTTGTTTTGTTTAAGACAACATCTAGTTATGTATTCTATAATGACCTTGAATTAACTATGTTGACCATAGTGGCCAATAATTTGTAATCCTCCTGCTTTGGCTTCCTGAGTGCTTTAGATTATAGGCATGTATCACAGTGGTGGCTTGAACATATATGGCACCTCACAAATTTATGTATTTGAATGTTTGGCTTATGTGGGATTTCCCTCTATGTGCTGTGATTACCATTAATGAATAAAGAAACTGCTTTGGACCTATAGCAGGGCAGAACTTAGGTAGGCAAGGAAAACTACACAGAATGCTGGGAGAAAGAAGGGCAAAGTCAGGGAGAAGCCACGGAGCCACCACCAGAGTCAGATATGTCAAAACTTTGCCGGTAAGCCACTGCCATGTGGCGATACACAGATTCATAGAAATGGGTTAAATTAATATGTAAGAGTTAGCGAACAAGAAGCTAGAGCTAATGGGCCAAGCAATGATTTAATTAATACAGTTTCTGTGTAATTATTTCGGGTCTAAGCTAGCTGGGCAGCCGGGAACCAACAAGCAGCCTCCCACTACACTTTGCCCATTGGGATTGGCACAATTAGGAAGTTCGGACTTGTTGGAAGAAGTGTGTCACTGTAGAGGCTTTGAGGTTCCATATGCTCAAGCTATACTCAGTGTGGCAGTCTTCTTCTGCTGTCTGTGGATCAAGATGGTAGAACTCTCTACTTACCTCGCCTACACCATGTCTGTCTGCAAGCTTCCATGTTTCCCACCATGACAGAATGGACTAAACCTCTGAACTGTAAGCCAGTCTCAATTAAATGTTTCCCTTTATAAAAGTTGCATGGTCATGGTGACTCTTCACAACAACAGAAACCCAAATTAAGACAACTACTCTATAAAAGCTCTTCACTGACCAATAATTCACTTTTTCCTTATCCATTATATGATGGACAGTTGGATTACTTCTCCCTCTTGGTTATAATAATACTGATAAACATGTTGTGAAGTTTGAGATCTTGCTCTGAATTCTTTTGAATGTATGCTCCAAAGTGAGACTACTACATATGATAATTCTTTACTTTTTTGAAGGAAACAACATTGTTTTCCAGAACAACTACACCATTTTACATGCCTGCAAATGGTGCATTAATTCCGACTTTTCCGTATTCTCCCAAACAGTTGGTTTTTTTTTTTTTTTTTTGGTAGCATTCCATCAGCCATTCTGATGGGCATGAACTGTTCCTTGTGGTTTTGAACTAAATTTCTCTTAAATTAGTTGAATGTCATTTCATATTTACTTGGGTCAAGCATATTTTCTTTGGAGAACTATATGTTTAACTCCTTGTCCATTTTTAAGTTGGGTTTATTTTGTTTTCAAGGTACACATGATCCTTATACATTCTAGGTTTAACTCTCAACAGACAGATAATTTGGGAGTATTTTCCCACTTCGGTTGATAGTTTATTTACGTTCTTGCTTGTTTTCGGGTGAATAAGTTTTTAAATTGTTTTAACAGAGTTTCATTTGTCGATATATGCTTTAGCTGTCCTATCAGAGAAGTGATTACCAAGTACAGCTTCCTGAAGCCTTACTCTTACATCTCCTACTAGTTTTAGGCATTCAGGTCTTCTGTTTATGTGTCTAATCCTTTTTGATGTGATTTTTATGTAAAGTAATGATGTAACTTCATTCTTCTAATATCATTATCCAGTTTTTCTACACTATCAGTTTAAAAGGTCATCCTTTCCCCACTGCACAATACTTGTATCCTTGGGAAAAATTATTTTATGTATTCTAAATGCGAGGAGCTAATGGAAACTCTTTTCAGCATATAGTTAGTAGACTCAATTCTTTGCTCCTTTTTCTCACGTGGAAACTCTTATCTTCTAACAGGTAAAATTTGACAGCAGAATAGTAATGGTTTATGTTCTGCATGCTCCTCTCTTTTGTCAGGGCCAAAGACAAATATAAATCATTTAATTTAGCTTTTTACTATTATTTGTTGATGCTATCTTTCTCAGAATTCTAGAGTAACTTCAGGTTTCCAAGTTTCAATACTAAGACATGATACTGTACTTCTAACATCATTAGATGGTGTGGGAGAATTGTCTGTATTCTGTCAATCATATTTTAATAAAACTGGCCAGGCAGGCAGTATAGGCGGGAAAGCCAGACAGGAAGTAGGGGTGGAGCAAAGAGACTGGGAGTATTCTGGGAAAACAGGAAGTTCCCTCTGCGACTCCTGAGCAGACCACCGAAGCAGCAACATGTAAGCTGAGGGCTGAAAAAGGTACCAAGCCATATGGCTAACATAGATGAGAATAATGGGTTAAAATAAGCTATAAGAGTTAACAAGAAACCTGAGCTAATGGGCCAATCAGTTTATAATCTTATGGAGTCCTGTGTGTGATTTTCCTTTGGGGCTTGCCAGCTGTGGGGTACTGGGCGGGACAGATACCCCAACAAGCCGGCCCCCTCGTGTTACAATTAGACTTAGAGGTAGTCATTCCTCAGTATCTGGTGGAATTGGTTCCTGGACCTCTCACAGATGCCAAAATTTGTAGATGCCAGTGCTTTAAATAAAACAGGCAGAGGCCTGCATAGACCTGTGCATATGGATGTGCATCAGTAGTCCTATACTGCAAATCATACTAGATTACTTTAACACCAGAAACAAGGTAAGAACTAAGTCAACAGTCATTATCCGGTGCTGTCTGTGCAGAGCAATAATAAAAAAGAGGTCAATGCAAGGTCAACAAAGACAAGATTTTTCTCAAATGTTTTCTGCACATAGTTGATGGAATTGGGTATGGAAGGTAGAATATATTCACTTATATGCTGCTTCTATAGATATATTTCCCTAGAATTAACATTTATTTTACAAATCTATACACATACCCATATAGACAGAGCAATATTGAAATGATATAAGTAAAATAGAAAAGATCTTATTTTCATCAGAATGGACCAGAAACACAGAGATACTAGCCCTAGGCGCACACACTGACATATACTTCATTACCTGAAATATCTATCTCTAAGGATCCTTCTTTCTCTGGGCAGAGTTCCTGAGGGATGGTCCTTTTAACATGGATCTCCTCCTTCTGTATGATGGATTTAGTATTGGAGAGTTTTTCAGTTTTTCTGTCTTGTACAATGGTATCACTGGAACCTAAGAGAACGAAATAAACACATTAATATATAAAAGAAGTTGAACCAAAAAAGCCTCTAACCATCTAATATGTGAAAGTGGCATTGCAAAACACAAACACCTATACCACAATGTTTAGAAAAATGTAAACTGGAGCAAAAAAAGCACACATATACAAGCATTCATATAGAGAGCTACAGAAGCACCATAAGGCGCTGGAAAGATGGCTCAGTGGTTAAAAGTACTTGTTGCTCTTGCAGAGGACCTGTTTCACTTTCTAGACCACATGGTGGCTTCAGATAACCTGTATGTAACTCCAAGAGGATCTGACACACTCTTCTAATCTCTATGGGCACCAGGAATTCAAGAGGTACACACATACACATAGGCAAAACACTCATATACATAAAATAAAATCAATTAAAATATATTTTAATATATTTTTATTATATAAAATATAATAACTTTCTATTTTTAAAGTATTAAAAACAAAAAAAATCCATAAGAAAGAAGCAGATGAAGAAGTATTAAGAAAGCAAACAAAGAGAAAAGTAATTCTAGCAAACAATACCATAGAAGAACTCTAGACAATTGACTTGGGTCTCTGAAGACGGAGAACATTTTGAAGTAGAAATCAAGTCACTGAAAGCAAAGGAGCTGCATAAAAAAGACTGGAATCAGGAAAGCCACTAAATATCCACAGGTTACAGTGTTTATAATGAAAAGGGGAAAACTAGAGCAGGGAAGCTTTTTGGAGCTGGTCCTAAGATTGTAGAAGACTGCTGAAAGAGCTTAGGTTTTATTCCCAAGGACAATGAAAACTAAAGTGTACCAGGAGATGAACAAAATCAAAATGGTTTCAGAAACATTCATTTAGCAACAGTAAAAAAGTGGTAAAATTTTGGAGTGTTTCACTAAATGCAATTCTACAGTCTTAAGAAAAACAACACGTAAAAAAGAGAAGTGCTTTATGTTCTAAAATATGTCTCTAGTTCATAATGGGAGCATAAATTCCAGCTGTCCTCCAATACATATTTTCTTTTTCCTCTAAAATAGCTGAGCATGCAATTGTAGCACAAAGTCATATGCTCAACAATGTTCACAGCAGCATTATTTGTAATAGTCAGAACTTGGAAACAACCTAAATGTCCCTCAACCAAAGAATAAGAAAAATGTGGTACATTTACACAATGGAGTACTACACAGCAGAAAAAAATGACAACTTGAATTGTGAGCAAATGAATAGACCTAGAAAGCATTGTATTGAATGAGGTAACCCAAACCCAGAAAGACAAGAATCATATGTACTCACTCATAAGTGGTTTTTAGATATAAAACAAAGAAAAACCAGCCTACAATTCACAATCCCAGAGAACCTAGACAACAAAGAGGACCCCTAAGAGAGACATACATGGATCTAGTCTACATAGGAAGTAGAAAACGATAAGATCTCCTGAGTAAATTGGGAGCATGAGGACCATGAGAGAGAGTTGAAGGGGAGGAGAGGAGAAAATATGTATCTCAATAAAAAACAATAAAAATAATAGCTGAGCATGTAACCAGAATAAAGGTTCAGACTCCTTGGAAATGCTAGTTGTGAGCACATGACTCAGGCTGACCTCTAGGATGGAAGGAAGTGTAACATCTAAGAAGCTCCCCTAAGGAAGAACATGCTGTTCTCTTTTCCCTTTCTTCCTGCTGGGTGGAGTGCCAGCTGATGGTACAACTTGAGAATGAAGGCCAGAAAGGCCAACAATAGCGGAAGAAAGAGCATTGTTCCCTGAGCTCTGGATTTTTTATAAGAAATGCTTTCTTGTCTGTTTTGAACACTGTTACATTTTGGGTTTTTATCTCTTAGAGCCAAACCTAACACTAAGTTAAACATGCTACTATAGATAATTTCAGCATAATCCTATTGAAGTAAAATAACTTCCAGAGTAAACAAGTAGAATATCTAAAGAGTAAACCACTTTTGTACAACAATGATATGAGACTATCTTTATAAAAGATTATATAATCTATATCAGAGACCATTTTAACTCAGTGAAAATGTATAGCAATGATGTGGGATTCCCCTCTGTATGTTGTGAATGCCACTGGAAAATGAAGAAACTGTCTTTGGCCTGTGATAGGGCAAAAAAATAGAGGTAGGCAGGGAAAACTAAACTAAATGCTGGAAGAAAGGAGGCAAAGTCAGAGAGAAGCCATGGAGCCGCTGGAGACAGACATGCTGAAGCTTTGCTGGTAGGCCATGACCGTGTGGTGATGCACAGATTAATGGAGATGGGTTAAATTAAGATGTAGGAGTTGGTCAATAAGAAGCCAGAGCTGATGGGCCCAGCAGTGATTGAAATACTACAGTCTCTGTGTGGTTATCCGGGGCTGAGCAGCTGGGAACCAACAAGCGCCCCCCCCACACAGCACAGTCTAATAAACAGCAGCTGGTGCCACTGCTATTCATTTTCTAAATACTCTAAAGTACGGAAAAAATTAAAAGGAGCTATAAAAATTCAACAAAACAAGATCTTACAGGCATAATCTAAACATGGTAATACTTCATAATAATGACTTGGAAACTGTATGCAAAGTAAGAAAGGAGGAGAGAATAAGAGGAAGAAAGTTTACATTCAAAATGAATCATAAGGCAACAATTAACATAAACTATGTAAGGCGATCACCGGAAATTAGGGGGAAATGTAACAGTTCTATCAGATAGAGGATTAATTCTATGAACAATAAAGAAAAGACAAAAACAAGAATATGAACAAGGATTATGGTAACAAAACAAACAAAAAGCCCTTATCAAGCCTTACATATATTTCATGTGGAAAGTATACTGTGACAGTGAAATGAACTACCGCAAAAGGGAAAAGCTCCTGGTAAGTCAATTTCTGACGATAAGATTCAAAAGTTCTGCATAAATATCTCCAAAAGTTTTTAAATATCAACTTTATTCATACCAAAGTCAACCAAAACAGTAGCTAGAACCCTCAGCTGCTTCACGTGAGCAAGCAGGAAGGAGGCCTGGAGACAGCAGAGAGAGACTGGAGAGCACACGGCTGTTTGGGCGGCTTGTGATTTTCAAGCAACAGTCTTTGCAGGAGAACAGAGGAAACCAGGGCCCAAAAAATCCAGTTCAGCTACCTGCAGTGTCCTGCAAGGAACTTCTTTCTTCAGGCCATGTCATCTTGGTCACAACCCGTCTACTGATGATCTCTTTCTGTTTTCCGTCTGAGACATTCTGATCCCCAATGACGGGCACTTGAACTGGGGCCTCTAGATAAGAACGTTGAATCCAGAGAGAAGAAGATAATAAACAAAAGGCAAGCAAATTTCCTGTCCCTCCCTAACACACAGCCACTCCCAAGTATAAATGAGGGGGAAAAGACCCTAGGCTCTGGTTTGGAAGACTGTAATATGAATTAGAAAGTTTGCCATATCTTTCAATGCACAATATCAGTTTAAATAAAGTACTATTTAAAAATCTTTTACTAGTCTGATGAAACCATAATCTTCCTTCTTTCAAATCAATTATGGTTTTCAAAGTAAAAGTGCAGGCTTAAACAATTCCTTGGAGTTCTTTGGTCTTTTCAAAGTTTTTACCAATTGTGGAGCTAATTAATATACCGTATAGTCAAAAAAAAAACCCTTATACAATCTAGATTTTATATACAGCATTCTCTAAATCTCATGCAGTTAAAACTTTTAAGTTTGTCTGATACTTTTTCCCTCCTTGGTCATGTATCTTCTCTTACCTCTAACTATCCAAATTTTTCAAGAGAGAAATCAGAACAATGTAATCAACAATGAAACACACAACGAAGAGCCAGCCTTGGCTTTACTTACCCAGAAATCTCTCATCTTTCAAATCAATTGTTTTTTTCCTTATTGTTATTACTTCAATCCTAAATTTTTTCATCTAATGCTCTAGAATCTCTAATATTTTAGACATATTAGGAGCCTAAAATGTATTAAAAACTTGACTTAAAAAATAAAACATTACAGATATGGTTCCCTGACTTTATTACCATCTTAGTAGCACCCTTTATACTGGACTTGAGTATCTTTCAATATCTTTAGCATGCTGCATTAATAAAAAATAGCTTTAACAATCTATACTCATAATTTACAGCCTTAGAGCATGCCTTCACATTTAATATGTCTGAGACTAGTCATAATAGTCAATATATGCAGTATTCTTCTGTCTTAACCCATCAACCCATCTACTGATCAACACATGGCTATTTCTGTTTATTTTTTATGTTGAAAAGCAGTACACCGAGCATTCCAGTAACATTTCCCATTGATTTTACAAGTTCTAAACATTTTTTTTAAAAAAATCTGTATCTTTTAACAGCTTGCAATATCTTTCATGTGCCAAGTTTTTCATGTTAATAACTTCCTCGGCCCCCCTCCCGGAATCCACGCTTCATGTCGCTTCTAGACTGCTGACTGGAGATGCGGCTGGGCTGCTGAAGTGCTTGCCAAGCAGCACGCACACATTAACTCTTGGACTTGATCTCCAGCACCACAGAAACTGGGACTGGTGACTGGGCAGTGGTAGTCTTTAATCCCAGCACTCAAGAGGCAGAGACAGGCAGATCTCTATGAGTTCAAGGCCAGCCTGGTCTACAGAGCGAGTTCCAGGCTCTTACTTCAACCTCAGTCTGAAGTGGCAATCCTGCCTCTAGGAATCTCAGAATGAGACTGTGTCTGAGTGCTATCTCCTCCCATTTTATAATTTTCTCTAGGGCTGAAATTAAAGACATGCACTGCCTGGTTTCTCTGGCAACTCTTGCTTCTTTTTAAATTCATGGCGGCAGCAGTATGTATATGTATGTATTAATATATTATTTATTTACGTATGTATTCCTAATATATAAATACAACATGATCAGTCTTATGTTACTTGTATGTATGTTTTCAGGGCTGACTATTTGGTGTTGGATAACCAATTGGTGTGCTCCTCCTCAAGGAAGACTATTTCTCCAGCTCTCAACAATCCTTAGTTTCCTAGAGTTCTTTGTCTAGAGTTGAGGCCTCATAAGCTTTCCTTCCATGATAGTATGTCTATTATTATTGTCTTTACTAAACACACCAATAAGTATAGTTTTCACCCCTCATGAAGAAAACTTCTCTTTATAATAAACAAAACGCATTTACAGAAAATCACAACTGATCAAAATGCAGAGTTGTATAGCTTAGTCCCAACTGACCCATCTATAACTCAATTCCTGCACCTAAAACTCAGGGATCACTGTAGAAGAATGGGTAAAGGGATTTTACGAGTCAGAGAAACAGGACATTTGTTCTGAGATTCTATCTCCTAGAAATGTAGACACCATACCCATAGAGTCTTACCAATACGGTTGCCTCCTAAACTTCTGTTTTTAATCTTTTACAAACAATATTTAGCAAATTACATATAAAATTCTGATGCTGGTACAGCAAGCTCTCTTATTGAGCCCAGAGATTAATTTAATGACATCTGAAAACTTTTATTACTATTATGTTTAATTCTCTAATTATATAGGACATCCTTAATAGATTTCAATTTTAGAATTTTCTCTATGGTACTATAGCATGTACTTTAGGCTCATTTCTAATAACCTTATCTTTTACACATCTTTTTAAAAAGATTTTAACTGTCCTAGTAAACATTTGTATAAAAATGCAGGACTGTCACTAATTATTGAACAATATGTGTGTAACCTTATACAGATCAAGAAATAAAATCTGAACAGCAGCCTATTACTCATTCTTTCTTCCCATTTTATTCAACACTTGATTTTAAGATTCATAAAAACTGAAGAGAAACCAGAGTGTGTAATACCTGATTTTAAATACAACAAATTCATCAGAAATGCCTGAACTGTGTATAAACGGATAATACAAAATATATCTTTTTCTTCCTTCCTTCACACTATGTTTATAAAGTTCATTATGTATTGTTACATACAGTGACCCTGTTCTCCGTGTCTGTAAGTATTCAATAGTCAATACCACAAGTTACCTATTTTTATTAAAGAAATATTGGCCACTTGAGTGGTTTCTAACTTGAAACTACTACAAATAGATTGAAGAATCCGTGCGGGGCTCAGGGTATAGCTCAATGATAGAATGCATGTTTAGCCTAAGTGAGACCTGAATTCAAAACCCAGCAACACACATACACTGTCAGAATATTAATTTCCACTCTGACTGGCAGTGAATAAGTTCTCATCCACAGCACAGCGTTCTTCATTGCAGTCATTCTAATGAGTACAGAAAGCTACTGCTGTTTTACTTTGTATCCCCAGATTATCAACAAAATAAAAATTTTATATGCAGTTATTGGGTATTACATAGTCTCTTTTGTTCAATTTCTACTGAGCAGAATATCTTCTTCACACTACTTCTCTATACATTCAGAACATATTTTGTGGAATGTGCACACTCTAATATTTACTTCCACTCTGAATTTAATAGAATTTTAATAGAATAAAATTTAATAGAATTTTTTTACTTTAACATTCCTTATCTGGCAATAGTTGCCAGTTTTATTTTCTGTTTTGGTTTTTTGAAAGGAATACAGTTTAATGAAGTTTTTCCTTTTCTAAAATTAAGAAGGCATACTCTTCCATTTCTTATAGAAGATTTACCTATCAGTTTATCTACTTACCTATTAATCTATGTTTCTATGTTTTGGTTTATTTTTTCTAAAGCAGCATCTAACTGGAACTAGCCCTCTTCCTACAATTTTAAAAATATTATACTTTTCAGAAAATGGCTACCCTCTATGTAGAGGAAAAGTTGAAAATTCAACAGTTTGAGCCAAGAAACCAAGTGTCTGAATGAAGCTGGTGGGATGTGAAAGGACTGATAGAGGCCTGATGTGAACATGAGAGTGGATGTCCTGTTGACACAACACAGCCGGGGCTCAGCTGAAGGTGACCAGTGTCACAGAGAAAAGTGAGCTAAGGGCAATCAGACTTTCTGGTCCCTCCCCCCCCAACACACACACAAGCCCAAAAATTGAATTTTCACAGGTTGGCAGCAAAATAAAACATCATGTGAACTCTTAACTCCTTGTCAAATCCAGCCAGAGTGCCACTCTGCAACATTTGGCAGAAATAAATTCATGAGAATTTTAATCAAGATTTTTCTGATATTTAGTATTCAAAATAAGCTTGACTTAGTGTTTATTTCAACAGCTGTAATACATTTTATTTATGTGAAAATGAAGTTTAAAGTTTTCCAATCTCTCTGAAGCACTTTAAATATTCTAACATTTAACTTTGCCATGTATACTATACTTAATGTAGGACAAAGTTTCCATAACAAACCAGAAAATTAATAAAGACAATATTCTCACTTCAAATAAAAAGGTTCAGGAAACAAGCTGTAAAACAGGCAAGGTCACCCATTACCTGCATTGTCTTTCCGAGGGGGCTTTTTCCCCGTTGTTGTTGCGGCCCTCTTACTATAGATCCCTTCTGTATGCTTAATGTTCACAGTGGCTGAAAGGTCATCATCTCTTGTGCCTAGCACTTGAGGTGGAAAGTCTGGGGCAACAGCATCATTGGATCCTACAGAAAAATGAGAAAATATTACACAATTAACACTAAAATAGTCTTGTGTTCAAGAAAGACTTTTTCTTCCCTTAGACTCCATCTATGAAAAGAACACCATGACAGGGATGTTGCAGGCATCAGACCATCAGTTAAACTGAAACTCAGAGACATGTAGAATAAACTGCAAAATTATCAGGCAAAGAAGAAAATGACATCAGACACGACCAAAAAAAAAAAAAATGGGACAGTGATTAGTTCTGAGGACTACTACCACGAGCTCAGGGAACCTGCTGAGAGAAGGAAAATGACAGGCGGGTGGCGTCTGGTATTGACTAAAGGAAGAAGACCCATTAGATAGTAGTTTCCACACAAACACAAAGGCTGAACAATGGGACACATTACGAAGAGTACTATTTAAACCTAACAGCAGCATATGGAATCCTAATCCCCAAAACCATAACGTTTACTGTACATAAAATAAATATCAATGAAGATTTTCTTTTTAAATCATGGATTGATTTATAAGCTTTGACTCAGGAAGACTGTCTAATGTTGGGATGTTCTATGTTACATGAATAAATTGAAGAAAGAGGTCACTCAAAGATGAAAGTTGAAAGCCTGTGTAGCAGCAGGAAGGTCCAGCCTCTAATAAACTAAACTTTGAACTAATGTAAAAAGGTGTATTTATTGTTACAAAGTTGTTTTTCCAGGTGAAGTATTTCCTCACACCAAGGGCCTTATTCTAATTCAAGTCTCTCTAAAGGAAAGCATCACGTGTCCATGGTACTTTACTACTTATTGTGTTCTGTCTGCAATCCACAGTAATCCAAGAGCTCCAGGTGTGTCAGAAGCATCTTGTGACCAAAGTCATGCAAAGACTATAATGCCCCCTTCAGAAGAACAATTTCACAAATCACAGAAAACAATCATCATTTTCCACAATGATTTTTCAAGGTCAAATTACTTCTAGAAAACAACTAGTCACTCTAATGATTTACCCTAGACATAGGGCCTGCTCTTCTGGAGGTCCTGAGTTCAGAGTTTAATTCCCAGCAACCACATGGTGGCTCATAACTATCTGTAATGAGACCTGATGCCCTCTTCTGGCCTGCAGGTACACATGTAGACTAAAGACTGTGTATATAATAAATAATAAATAAATAAATCTTTTTTAAAAATTGACAAACAGAAACTAATCTGTTATGCCACATCTATAGGCAAAAAACATTTTTGGACATGTAAAGGCTTATAGTAACTACAAACTTCTATAAAACTGTCTTTCTAGACCAGGATCCCAAACTTTATATATTTCCTGCGCTCCTAATACTTGCATAATTAATATACAGCTGTTATAGTGATAGAATGTTTATGATAGTCTCAGTTATGACTGAGAAAGTACCAGTCTCATTGATTTCAAACACACTGCAAGTTTTCTACCAAGTCTTCTAGAACAAGTCTACAGATGACATGAATCTTCTCATCTTACCTGGTTATCACTTTCTGTCCCTTGCCACTTAGCTCTCTGGCAAGTTCTATTATCCTTTCTTCTACCAAGTCTCCAGTGCTACAGTTCCTCCACAACCAGACCTTACTCTTCCTAGGTGTACTATAACTACCAAGGAATGGTTGGGAAGAAATAAATGCTTAAGCAAGACATAGTGGCATATGCCTTTAATCCCAGTACTTGGAAGGCAGAGGCAGGTGAATTTCTGAGTTCATGGCCAGCCAGGTCTACATAGTAAGTTCCAGGACAGCCAGTTACATAGAGAGACCCTGTCTTAAAAAAACCAAAACAAAACAATGACCAATAAATGAATGAATAAATGAATGAATTGCATAGAGAAACCCTGCTTTGAAAAAACAACAAATAGACAAAACAAATAAATAGATGCTTCCAAGAGTTTTCTCTCTTTTATGCTTCAGATTTTAACAGTAAAGGATACAGGTAGTTCTTATACCATTTTAATAGAAAGTAAAAATAGATGCCCCTTCTCTATACATTTTAAGTTACTATTTATTGTGGTTCAACACAACTCTAATTGGTAGCTATTCTTATCAATCTTTCTACAAACCAGAGGACATGTCTGGAGCAACAAACAACATGAACAATCAGTCCGCTACCCTTTTTCCCCCAAGAGCGGTGACCAGGTCAGTTGGGTTAAGAACAACAGATAATTTCTCACAGTTGCAGTGGATGAGCAGGAGAATGCCAGTGAGGCTGAGAGGCAGCTGGAGAGGAGTGCAGACAAACATGCACACTATAGAGAGTATGCTCTGATTTTCCAGCATCTGTGCAGAGCTGAAATACATGTGGATATGGATTTCTATCTGGGGCAGAAAGAGTTAACTTACTTCTTCCAGAACAGTAATTAGAGATCTGGACTCTTCTTGATCATTTGTGTATTTTCATAAAAGCATTCATCTATGATGCAAATAGAGCCTCTTCATGTTACCCCTTGCCAACATCTTTATGTGGCTGTATAACAATACCTCTCTATTCACATGGCCAAAGCAGATACTTATATCATCTTCCCCACATCTGCTTCTTAATCTCCATCTTAGGAAATGTCATTCCTACTTACCCAGTGTTCACTGTGGGAAACTAAAAATCATTTTTTCCGATTGCCTTATCCTACACTCTTGGCATTCTAGCAAGTCCAGATGAAGTTTCCTGTGTCTGTTTACTCCTTCTGTATGATGTCACTCTAATCTTTTCCCAGTACTACAAACCCTTCTTCAAAGTACTGTCTCCACTAACGCTTTGGCTCTGAATCTCCCACTTCCCGTCTACAAGCTATGATCACCATATGAAAAATTGGAAAACAAATTTACAAATATAAACCAAACTATAGCTACCTACTGCAGCAAAGCACAAATGCTTTCAAATTGCTTACAACCTGCACGATCTACTGTCAATCACGGTTGGCCACCACTCTGCTTTCTTTCTGTACGAGGACTCAGCAAAGCAGATCAAACTGGAATCACTTGTACTAATGACATGCAAGCAAATTCAGACTGTAAGAAGTAGGATCCTGAAGAGACCAGCTTTCAAAATTATAGATTTTCACCAACCAGTTGAAAAGAATCAGTTCAGCCTGAGAGGAGGAACAAAGTAACAGTAACATGCTTACCAACCTAGTATGGCATTTGGCTGGAACATATTAACTCCTTTTAATACTCACTAGTTCAAAGAACAAATAATGCAGCATGTATCAGAATGGTGTTACTTTACAAAATCCCAAGAATTATAAGTACTCCCTACTGTGTTCATTCATTCATAAGTGACAGACATATGAGGTACGCATTTGGCTACTGTGAACACTACCTCTATGTGTAGTCGGAGGTCAACCACTGGCAAAACGCACGGTGTACAGACAAGACAAGCAGGACACAAGAAAAAAAACTGTCAAATCTTGTCAAGACAGGGTAAGACAGTTCTGAAAACTTTCCTGCCTCTAGGCCTTAGACAAAGTTGGTTGCTCCAAAGTTACAAATGAGACTTTGGGTGACTGCCCAGGTAGCCAACTGTCTCTGTCATTTACAGGACATTTTGAAAGTTGCTTGATTGCATTTCCTGTTTACTCAAGTAATGCTCTCACGTCTTCGATGGGGTTGAAGACTAGATAGATGTAGTTACTTTCCTCGTATGACCTGGCCAAGCTTTTTATAAGACAGACTCCTTATGATATGATAATTATTGAAACAGTTAGCATATGTTTCTTGCTTCATATTGTTTATGCTAATTGCAATTCTAATTTTTATTTGATATTTGTTCTTATTGTATATAGTTTGTATTAGGCGTAGAACTCTCTTATTTAAACAAAAGGGAGGTGCTGTAGGAACTCCTTCAGCCAGCAGCCTTTAAGATACCAGCCCACTTGGACGTGGCCTCTTATATTATAAATGCCTACCTGCTCTTTCTTCCAGCTGCTGGATTCAGTTTCTGTTCCCTGTTCATGTAGAGGACTGTGATCTGTGAGTCTACTCTTTAACCCTTTAGTGTACTTTTTTTTTAAAAAAAATGCTGGTTACCAAGAAGCTGTGCTTAATTCTTTTGTGTTTAGAATTCCATTTTCGAGTTTTCTCAGGTTTTATGTGGATTTAGCTGGTACATGTTGGTGGGCCAATCTGTAGCTGGAGGTTGCTCGTTCATTCCCAGCTTCTCAGACCCAAAATAATCACACAGAAACTGTATTAGTTAAATCATTGTTTGGCCTATTAGTTCAATCTTCTTATTGGCTAGTTTCTTACATCTAAAATTAACCCATTTCTATTAATCTGTGTATTGCCACGTGGCTGTGGCTTACTGGCAAGGTTCTGACATCTGTCTCCTGTGGGTGGCTACATGGCTTCTCACTGACTCTGCCTTCTTTCTCCCAGAATTCAGTTTAGTTTTCGTGCCTAGCTCTATTCTGCTAAGCCACTGGCCAAAACAGCTTTATGTATTAACCAATAAAAGCAACACATATAAATAATGACTTCTCACACCATCTATGAACATGGATACACAGATGATTATTTAAAATACTGTTTTCATTATTCAGAAGCAGAATTGCTCAAAAAATTGTGTTTGGAGTTCCGAAAAATTGCCATGATGCTTTCCACAGTGGCCATTTACAGTCCCATCAGCACAAAGATTCCAATTTCTTCATAGCCTCATTGACAAGTCTTTTATATTTAAAGGAATTAGGAGTGATTCTATCAAGTGTGATGTGTGACCTGTTATTGCTCTGGGTTGTAATTGCCTGTGATGATTGAAACAAAGTATCTTTTCATGTATTTGTACGTTAATGTAGATTTAGGTTCCGTGAGCATATATAAATCATCAAAGTATTTTGGGGGCTGGAGAGATGGCACAGCGGTTAAGAGCATTGCCTGCTCTTCCAAAGGTCCTGAGTTCAATTCCCAGCAACCACATGGTGGCTCACAACCATCTGTAATGAGGTCTGGTGCCCTCTTCTGGCCTGCAGGCATACATGCAGACAGAATATTGTATATATAATAAATTTAAAAAAAAGAAGTGCAAAAAAATCTAAGTATTTTGTTTTTTGTTGTTGAATTATAAGTTCTTCACATTTGTCTGGATATTAATTCCTTATAGACAAACATATGGTTTGCAAATATTTTCTCTTGTTCCATATTGGTGGAACATGCCTTTAATCCCAGCACTAGGGAGGCAAAGGCAGGAGGATCTCTGTGAGTCTTAGATCAGGCCATCAGCATAGGGAGCTCCAGGCCAGCCAGAGAGGCATATTAAGACTCTATAAAACAAAACAACCTTGTATTCTATGAATTATCTTTTTGTTGATAGGATATTCTTTGGTGCACAAGCATTTCAAATTATTTTTCTTTTTCTTCTTTGTTATTTATGTCATTGGCCTATGTTATTTTAATCATCAAGCCTCACATGGCAGCTCACAACCATACAGCAAAGGCAAGCCAGATATGGTGGTGTACACCTTTAATACTGACTCAGGAGGCAGAGGCAGGCAGATCTCTGTGAGTTCTAGGCCAGTCAAGTCTACATAGAGCAGTGGCTCCCTACATAGAGCACCCTGTGGGTTGCAACCCCTGGGAATTTGAATGACCTTTCATGGGGGCTGCATATCAGATATCTGAAATATAAGATATTTATAATATTTATATTATTTATAACAGTAGCAAAATTACAGTTATGAAGTAGCAATGAAATAGTTTTATGGTCAGGGAGTCACCACAACATGAGGAATTATATTAAAGGGTCATAGTATTAGGAAGGTTAAGAACCAATGCTCTAAAGGGAAGCTCAAAAAAAGGAAGTATAGGATCACAGCCATCATTAATTCCAGGTCGGCCATGAAGTATCCTGTGCTCTTATCAGCAAAGACACAATTCTTCCAGGTGGGCAGGATGACACTGGGAAACAACTGCTCAAAAAGAACACTGATGTACTTAAAATAATTCTGGCAATATGTAATAACTTTGCTGTATAAATCTATCTGCCTACATGGCCAGATTTATAGTCTCTTATCTGTGTTCAAACTGTTCTAAGCATAACCTGGGGGAGGGACCCAAAAGAAATTTAAGCATGACTGTTTGGGGAATGCATAAGCCTGAAGTGCACATTGAATGATTGAAGTAAAGTCTTCTGTTCAATGCCAACTCTTATTTGGATCTTAGCCCCCAGTCAGCAGCTGCTTTAATAAAATGTTTTTCTTTCACCTCTAAGTATACAGTGTTTCTCACTGGGAAGGCACATCATTAATCTTACACTTTTGCTCCTGCCTTTGTGGCAACTTAATGGTGTCCCACAGAACTCTGGTATTTGTTCCTTTTTCTCTTTTTGTCTTTTGACAAAGTCATCTCAATGGACCTATCTTTAGATTCACTGTTTCTTCTGCCTGATCGTCTTCTGTTGAGCTCCTCTAGCAAATTAATTTTTCCTTCTGTGCTTTTTAAGTCCAGAATTATAATATGGCCCCTTCTTATAATTTCTATCTCCTTATAATGTTATTTATCTGGTAAGGCCTTAGTTCTCAAAAAGCCATTTAAGATAGATCACTGAACATGTTTTAACTAGTTTAGTATTTGTCTAGTAAGGCCAACATCTGGAATTCCTCAGGCACTTTTTTTTCTTTGTATGGAACATACTGTATCTTGTGTTTTTCCTTAATATTTTTAGCTGCAAACTTGGACATTTAAATAATACAATATAGCAACTGTTAAAGTTAGATTCTACTCCCACTGTGTTTAGTAATTTCTGAACCAAGACTATAAAGACTACACTTGACTGTGTATGGCCACTCCCGTTTCTACTCAATTTACACAGTGGCGGGCTAATCCATGTATGAAGTCTTCATGTCTTTGGGCTCTATGCTCAATCTAAAGGGACTTTGACATCAACCCAGGTAGTTGTCAACTCGGTTTTAGCCTTCTCTTTTTTTCTTACACAAATAACTCATTTATAAATTAAACAACTCACTTATGAATCAACCAAAGGTTGAGGCATCAAAACCTCAATATTTCTCTAAAAGGTTTCACAATCAACCAGTCAATACACTCTATTTCTGAAAATAAAATCTTGAATAATATTTTGCATAATACCTGAATGTGAGCTCTCAACAGTGGTATCTGATTTGGTATCCGGATCTGAAGGAACTGCTTTTAATTGTGGAACATAGTACATCTCTGAACTTCCCGATGGCTTATATGGCAACAGTACAGGCTGGGCTGAGGAGTAAAGATCAGAACCGTTAGTAAGAAAGTAACACTGACTCTAATACATGCCAAGTACCTTATACCTGCCAGGAAGTGTTCACATTAAGTGTAACACATATTGTGAAGGATTAGGAATAGGAAGGAAATCAAACCAAGATGAGGCTTAACCAGGATGAGGGGGTGCCTTTTCAGCAATTTATTCCATAAGTAGATAGTTCTAACTATAAAGCAGTTTATCTTACACAAAATCCAAGCCCCTGCTTACTTTACTCCTACAGACATAAGAAAATAAGTCTACTTCACATTTTCTATAACAATTTCAAAATAAAGTTATTATAAAAATATGATTTTGAACATTAAGAAAATATAAGATGTAAAAACGGACAAGGTATGACTATTTAAAGATAAGTTTAATTAGATTCTATGTTTTTCTTCTTTTTTTTTTCTTTCTTTCTATTTTCTTTTTTTTTAATTTTTTAAAATATTTTTATATAAATTTTTTTTACAGAGACGGGGTCTCGCTATGTTGCCCAGGCTGGAGTGCAGTGGCTATTCACAGGCGCGATCCCACTACTGATCAGCACGGGAGTTTTGACCTGCTCCGTTTCCGACCTGGGCCGGTTCACCCCTCCTTAGGCAACCTGGTGGTCCCCCGCTCCCGGGAGGTCACCATATTGATGCGAACTTAGTGCGGACACCCGATCGGCATAGCGCACTACAGCCCAGAACTCCTGGACTCAAGCGATCCTCCTGTCTCAGCCTCCCGAGTAGCTGGGACTACAGGCGTGCGCCACCGCGCCCGGCTGTTTTTCTTCTTTTTACACATTCGTTATTGCAAAATAAAAAGTTAGAGTTCAGTTCTTCTGTTTTATAAGAATAGAATATTAATTTTTAGCCTATTCATACATAGAGAACTCTGATATAAATGTAGGTTTAAAATTTTTTCACAGTTGAGTCTCTCCTCTTGTGTTTCTGCCACCATCATAAAGGCAACATATTCCTGGCAAGACTGCAATTGTCCCATAGCCTGAATCTCAGAAACAGGCATTTGGAGGCACACCAAAACTACTTTTGCCACCTGAAACCTAACTCTGCCAAACTCCAACTGGCTCACAAGCCTGAGACAGAAAGACAATGTTTTTTTTTATATCTATTTATTTATTATGTATATAATATTCTGTCTGCATGTATGCCAGCAAGTCAGAAGAGGGAACCAGACCTCATTACAGATAGCTGTGAGCCACTATGTGGTTGCTGGGAATTGAACTCAGGACCTTTGGAAGAGCAGGCAATGCTCTTAACCACTGAGCTATCTCTCCAGCCCCCAATGTTTTTATTTTAAACAAAAGAAAATAACACATACCTGTGTGTAAGAATATGTGTGAATTTATATATATTTGTTAATACTACAGACTGGTCTAGGACCTGGTGCATGTTAGGTAGGCATACACATTATCATTGAGCTACATCCACTAGCATCCATGAAAATATTTTTTTCATTTGTGTATGTATGTGTTCATGTTTACACATATGAGGGTGCATGAGCACATGTGCACACATATATTCACATTTCCATACAGTAGGATTAATGTTCAACCCGAGGAACCAGTGACTGTTTCACAAGCAAGAAATACATCATCACTGTGCACTATAAAGTCTCATATATCATATCACTATGAGCCAAATGCCTGCCCTAAAAACAGTTCTTACATACTAATAGTATTTTTACAAAAATCATAGGACAATGTCAGCCAGCCATAAACAGCATGAATTGCAACATACTCTTGTTAACGCCTTCAAAATTAAGATGGAAATCCTATTCTTTTCACAGGTATGCAAACAAAAACTGAATATATTAACTTTGTAGCAAAATGAGGTTTAATGACGAGAAATCATTTCAAAGACAATTACACATAAAAGGGATGGTTATGATGTAAAACTCAGTTATAGTCCCTTACTGTCTTTGCCAAGAGAAGATGTGATTTCTTGCATCGAAGATGATGGGGCAAACTTGAGTGACTTTTTAACCATGGAGCCCAAAGTTTCCTGTCCATAATTATCAACATTAATAAAAATTTCAGAAGAAAACGTGGTCTTTTCTGGACTTTCTGTTGTTATCTGAGTGACTGCATCAGATGATAACTTTCCGGAGGATGTAGGAAAGGGAGCCTTACTCTGTTCTTGTGAACTAATGGGGAAGGGAAAAAAAAAAAAAAAGAAGGCAAAACAGCTCATATCTTTGGTAAAAAATATTTAAGTAATTAGGTATTTGTAAATATAGTAATCTCACATGTAATAACCCATTTTTACAGTATTCCTCATTTTGATACATAGTAAAAAGTGATCAAGCATGTTTCTTATTATTTATTCTAAAATCTACTTTTAATCTTAACTTATAATACCATCATGTAATTTGACTGAAGAAACAGTACTTTATAGTTGAAATTATATATTCATTTATATATATTTAATTTGACAATTACTTTAAAACTGTACTAAATCCCAGAGGACACAAAGATAAACATGAAACCAAGTCTTATATTTCAATGGTAGAACAGGAAGTTATAAAGGGTGTATGTGTGTAATAAAGATTATTGAGAATTTTAAATGCTTAAAAATGTTTAGAATTTTTTTTTAAAAAAAAAGCAAATGAGTTCAACTATGTTCATAGCTGCACTATTTGTAATAGCCAGAACATGGAAACAACCTAGGTGCCCCTCAATAGAAGAATGGTTAAAAAAGGTGTGGAACATATGCACATTAGAGTTCTACTCAGCGGTAAAAAACAATGACATCTTGAATTTTGCATGCAAATGGACGGAAATAGTAAACGCTTTACTGAGTCAGGTAACCCAGACCCAAAAAGAGGAATATGGTATGTACTCACTCATAAGTGGATTCTAGCCATAGTTAAAGGTCTGTGAGTCTATAATTTGTGATCCTAGAGAAGCTAAATAAGTTGGTGAACCTGAAGAAAATCATATAGTTATCCTCCTGGATATTAGAACTAGGCAAGAATGCCAGGCAAACTCGGGTGCATGGGGGGTGGGGGGGTGGAAGTAGGGGAAGATGGTTAGGGAGAGGGGAGAGGGGGAGGATTGGGGATGGCTTGGGGGAATGAGAGGGGGGGAGGGAGGAAGGATGGTTCTGGGAGCAGGGAAGTTTATATCTCAACTAAGGGAGCCATTTTAGGGTTTGCAAGAGACTTGATTCTGGAGGGGTTCCCAGGCCCAAGGAGAGGTCCCCAGATTGTACTCTGGGCAACAGAGGAGAGGGTGCCTGAACTGGCCTTGGCCCATAACCATACTGACGAATATTTTGCATATCACCACAGAACCTTCATATGGCGATGGATGGAGATAGAGACAGAGACACATATTGGAACACTGGACTTAACTCCCTAGGTCCAAATGAGAAGCAGAAAGAGGGAGAACATGAGCAAGGAAAGCAAAATCAGAGGGGGCCTTCATCCGACGATGGATGGAGATAGAGACGGAGACCCACATTGGAGCACTGGAAGTCAGGACCGCGAAGAGTGCGTTCACCCACTGATACAAGTGGACTGATCGAATGAGAGCTCACCAAGGCCAGCTGAACTGGGACTGAACGAGCATTTGATCAAACCGGATTCTCTGAATGTGGCTGACGTGGGTCCCCGAAGTCCAAATGAAGACTGAGAAGCTATTGACAATGGCACTGGGTCTTGTTTCATCTGCATGGACTGGCTTTTTGGGATCCTGGCCTGTTTGGATGCTCACCTTCCTGGACCCGGAGGGAGGGAGGAGGAACTTGGATTCCCCACAGGACAGGAAACCCTGACTGCTCTTGGGAATGGTGAGGGAGAAGGAGAGGGAGTGGGTGGAGTGGGGGGAGCAGGAGGGTATTGGGAGGAGGGGAGGAAGTGGTGGAAAGAGTGTTTTCGGATACTTGAATTAAAAAAAAAAAAGCAAATGACTGAATAACAAACATGAAGGAAGAAAGGACAGTTTTACTTTTGAAGAATTCCATTGAATATGCAGATACCTCTCACCCACGAAGGTAAAGCTTACCTCCAACACAAACTCCTAGTATAGGCTGGACTTAGTGGCTATATTTCAAAGAATACAGACTAAGAAGTGAGAAAACCGGCCAAAACCTGGTCAAAGCTGACACCATAGTGATGACTTATGAGTATAATGTCTGACTTAAGGGTGAATTTCACTGCGAAAGGTGAGGAGACATTTGCATTGTCGTAAGAAAAAGCTACAGGCTATGTAGCCTTTAAACAGAATTCACTGATCACCACTCTGGAGCCTGAGAAAGCCAAGACTGAAGCAGTGGGGGGATCGTTTGACAAAGGCATTAATCTCATTAATGAGGTACTCACTCTCACAATCTAAAAGCTTCTTTGAGGTCCTATCACCAAATACCATAATAATGGGGATTAGATTTTAACGTGAATTTTGGAGAGACTAAGTATTCAGAACATAGTATTCTGCTCCTGGTTCCCAAAATTCATGTCCTTACGTGCAAAATACATTCATTCCATCCCTAATCTTAACTCATTGCAGCAACAACTCGGAAGTTCAGTGTGTCATCTAACACCATCTACATCAGAGGCAGATTCAATGTTCAATGTATCTGAAAACAAAATGTTCTCCAACTGAGAACCAGTAACAAAAATCATACCTTAAAATACAATGGTAGGACTAGTATATAACACTCATTGCAAAAAGGAAAAGGAGAAAAAGGTGCCAAGCAAGTCCTAAATCTTGAATCTCAGAAGCAGTCCTCCAGTCTCCATGACTCTGGCAGACAATGCCCACGGGGCGCCTCATGGTGTGGTCACACCTGAGAGGACCAAGAGATGCAGAGACAGGGTATGAAACAGAAGTGGGGCAGCACTGTGAGTGAACACAGAAGATTCACAGGAACCTGAAATGACTCCTTTGAAATTATGTCCCCAAGGTCCTGCACTCTGGCTCATCAGTGGGAGTGGCACCAACAGAACCTGAAATGCCTTTGGATATAGTCTTTAATATTCTTAGTGAACTGACCTGGTTAATCCATACTTATTTTATCATATGGCCACTTGGTCATACTACTGGTGCTCTCTGCCAAACACAGTATCACATTTTTATAATACAGAAATGCTAAATATTTTCCAAATTTTAAATCTCCACTTCTTTTCTTATTAACTACATCTTTAAATCATTTCCTTCATGCAAAAGAGGTGGTGAAAAGAAGAGGTGGGCAGGGAGGAAGGGGCTGCTCTGAAACAATATCTTTTGGACATACATGGCCATTGTGATCGTGAACTCACAGCAGCTGTGGCACCCACACAAGACCTGTGCAGGCAGGTTCTAGCCTATCAATATTCCAGCGTAAACAGAGAGAAGGTGCACTGCAGGGAAAAAGCACCAGTGGAAGAACACCACTAGCCCTATCAGAGTCAAGCAAACACACCTGCCCCTATCTAATTCAGGAACTGAAATCCAACCAGTCCCAGAGCACGCAATCAATCAATTCCTGAGCACAAAATCCTCACATGCTCAGGAATTAAGATCCTACCAAATTCCACCACGAAAATCTCCACCTCCAAAAGCTCCACCCCTATGAAACCTTATATAAGCTCCATACCTGTGCAGTTTGGGGCAGCCACTCTCCTGGATTCCTCTCTCCCAATAAATCTCTTGAATGGGGTTTGTTGTAACTACTTTTTCCCCCTACTGGAGCAGAGTAGAGCTATAATGGCTCTTCCCAGAGCACAGCAGAACTGCTATGTTTCTGCTGGGAAACTCCCTTAGCAGAGCAGAGCTTAAGAGCTCTCACCAAAGTGGAGAAGAGTGGAGCAGGAAGAGAGCACAACTGTAACACTCTGGCTGGGGAAACTTTGCTCTGCTGGAGCAACATGTTAGACTCTGGGGAAGCTGAGCAGAGCTGGAACATTTCTTTGGAGCACAGCAGAGTTGGGCCAACTTCGCTGGGAAAACCTCCCCTGGTGGAGCAGAGTTGTTACACTTGCATTAGGGAAACTTTTCCCGGAGGAAGGATGTAAAGTTTTGCTGGGGACACAATCCCCTCTGGAACAGAGCTGCAACACTTTTGTTGGGATAGTTTTCCCTTCAGAGCTGTAACACTTACTCATGAAAGGCCCACCCCTTGAGGAGTTATTAAAGGTTGCTGAATGAGGGAATAGCTATTTCTAGTTAAGCTGTTAATGATCCAGTTATTACTCTACACATATACAAAATAATAATAAAGTCAAATGAATTAACACTTCTAAAAAAATCATTTTTCTTGAGTTGTATAACCAACATCTAAGAAAAAAAACAAGCTCCACCCTCAAGACATTGCTTAGAAATTTCATCACTTAGAAGTTCTTTTAAAAAATCATTACAGCATCTAGTTTTCCTAACGTATATATTGCTTTAAAATCTAGAGCCTGTGTATAAGAGAAAGTTATCTGTGATATTTGTGATTCTGACTCTGGCTTCTTTCAAGCTTAACTTAATGATCTCTGCCACTATTCATTTTCCTGCAAATGAAATAACTTCATTTTTCTTTATGGTTGAACAAAACTCCATTGTTCATAGCATATTTTCTTTATTCATTTATCTCTTCATAGATATCTAGTCTGATCTCGTGACCTGACTATTGTAGAGAGTGCAACAGTCAGCACAATATGCAGCTGCCTTTATGGCAAACTGACTAAGATTCCTCACTCCCAGAACTAGGAGACTTGGATCATATGGTTATTACAGTTTTAGTTTTTGAGGAATTGTCACACTACCTTCCACAGCAATTGTCTTAAAATTTCTATTCCCACCAACGCTGTACAAGAGTTCCTTTCCACCTTTATTCTTGCCAGAATTTGCTGTTATTTCTTGACTAGAGTGAAATGGACTCTTTCAACTAAATCTTTCAAAAACTGCTCATTTGCCCACTGCCAAAATCTCTGAGCAACCGTCCTATTTTAATAATGAGATGTTGGGAATACTCAATGTATATAGGAACAAAATAAGATTGTTAACATTCCTATTCAACATAATCAAGGCTGAAAAATAGAAAAAAAGTAAATAAGTCAGAAAGGAAGAAGTCATTTCTTTGATACTAGATATTATGTATACAAATAACCCCCTCCCCCCAAAAAACCCTATATAGCCTTGGAATAAGTGACTTAAAGTTGGCGGATACAAGATTTAAAAT